AAACTTCATCTAGACGACAACACATATTTCCCGTTCCCTGCAGCACAACGTACGTAACTTCTCCAGATCAGATGCTTGAATTTGCAAACAAAAACCAGTGACGTAAGTAAGTTTATTCAGGTACTACACAGTACAGTTACTTGGATTATCAAACATAGCAGCTCAGTATGTATAGAGAATCTAGGATCACTCAAAAAAGTCAGAGGAAATTATTCCATTGGGTCCTTTAATTCCTTATCATTATTATTATACAAAGTGAATGGACAGATTAATACTCTTTATATTAAATTATAAGGAGATATACTAGGAATAATGTGATAGAATTATTTACAGTTATTTTGTGTTAGTTACTAAAAAATAAAAAAATCATTCCCCTCCCCTTTCGAGTCGCTACAACATCAGACACCTTTCTGGCACTCATTCTTTACGACTAGGTTCATACTTGTGACTGGCTTGACATGTGCAGGCAGTCGTGTTTCCAATTCCTTTAATGCTGTACAATAAAACGGTGTATTGAAGCCTGGCCATGAGACTTGAGGACTACAAAGTTGTGCTCTCTCCCACTAGTACTATTGATTGCATGTTCCTTCACCTTTGACAAAGAATAAGCAGCAAGAATATTCTGACAATGTTTTGTGAGCAATTTATTAAAACTTGATTTAACTTCAGTTTGTTTTACTCTGTCTCAACATACCCAAGCAGATCCACTTGTTGTAATTCATTCCTGCCTTCCAATGTCTCTTGGAGACTCAGTCCAGGATGCGAATCATACTGTTTTGGTTCTGGTGATTTGCAGTTATGTCTTGTCAGTTTGTTTTTTTTGGGTCAAGGCAGAGTACCACTGAAGAGCAAGCATATCCATATGACATTGTATAGGGCTAGACATATAGGGGGAGGTGTTTTTTCCTGCGAGCCTCAGTAGGTGACACTGTGCTGTCTGTAGAAGAACGTTCAATCTGTATTTCGCTTTCTTTCTGTTTAAGTGAAGCTCTGGCCCTATTAATCTGGACCGGCTGTTCGGCCGTCGCAGTCCACCTTTGTTAATTCATCAACGTCGTCACCATAACAACTTAATTATGTTCATAGACCGCTGGCATATTTGAGAAACAGGTGAGGATATATGTTCCTTGAAAACTACGGAGGCTGGGGTAAAAACAGTTGGTTTCTGCAGAAAGTACCCACTAACGAAGACAGTGGACACCAGGACCCAGCGTGGCTACTGTAAAAAAACTTTCCTGTTACTTCTAATGAGTCTATTAACATATTTACCGAACTGCAGCCAGGGCCGGATTATATTTATGGCGACACAGTCCTCCCCGCCACAAGTCGCCCGCCTCAAGAGACAAACACGTTCACCAACGCTCATAACACCGCTTAACACCATGATCCTTCAAAGTATTCGATAGACACCCAGCAGAGCTAGTTTTGTTCATGATCCAGGACACTCGTGGTAGTGGTAAGCTAAGGCTAATTTCAACAACCCTCTCCCTTGTATGAACACCAGCCTCCAGCCAAAGCAGTTTTATATAGAAACGAAACCACAAAACAGCGGAGTCCAGTCCGAATAGATCCAGCGACACATCTCCGCGCAGTTTTAGTAAATATTTCAGACCACATGTCTCGTGGGATTCATTATAATATAACTGCTTTGGAGGACTGGATATTCAGACGGAAGTGTCCTCGTAATCAATGAACAACGCCTAGCACTGCTGGTGGCATGAACATCGAAAGATCGCTAGTTAAAGTGGTTAAGGCATAAATTTCGCATAAATCATGCTGAGGCCAACGAAATAAAAGATATTTTCATTATTTATGTATTATTATTAAATTGAGCGTAAACTATATCTAATAAATGTTTTAGTTGGAGAATAGGCTAAATTAAATTGCGCGTGTTAACCAAAATAGTAAGTTTCTAAGGTCTTATGTACAAAAAATTATTAATTTTATCTCATTAAACTAAATGAAAAAAAATAAATTATATCTTTAAACGTATTAGAGAGAAAATTTTAGAAAGGATTTTTAATTTTAAATGATTCCTGCTAATTGACGAAGTTTACATATAGGTATGATTAGATAGATAGTATAAAATATATATATAAATAAAATTACTATTATATATATTATATATATAATATATAATAATATATATATATATATATCTATAAATAAAATATATATTATATAAATATATATATATATATATATAATATATAAATATATATAATATATACTATATGCAAAACAACCACTGGATGGAAAGAATAGAGAAATTCAAAAGACGCTTTCGTGACTACTTCCTTTTTCAAGGATAATGTGAGAAGTCACAAAAGCGTTTGAAATTACTCTCATTCTTTCGCAGTGTTGTTTTGCATAATTCTGAAATCACCTGTTTTACTGAGATCTTATGAATAGTTATATATAAAATGAAGTAGTGGAGCAGGAACCATACATAGTTTTAAGAGAGGTATGACAAAGCTCAGGAAGCAGAGAGAGAGAGGATCCAGTAGCGATCAGTGAAGAGGCGGGGCCAGGAGCTGAGTCTCGACCCCTGCAACCACAATTAGGTGAGTACAATTAGGTGAGTACACACGTTGCTACCATCACACACACACACACACACACACACACACACACACACACACGTTGCTACCATCACACACACACCACACACACACACACACACACACGTTGCTACCATCACACACACACACATACACACACACACACACACACACACACACACACACACACACACACACACACACACACACACACACACGTTGCTACCATCACACACATACACACACACACACACACACACACACACACACACACACA